TCTTTGGGAAACGAAATGTTTAACTAAACTTTTCGCTGTAGAAGGCAACATACCATAACAGGAGAAAGAATCACAAAGATATCACCATCGAAATTAATCTTGAAATTTTTTTCTGTTGATTGGCTCACTGAAATAGCTTCTACGTATTTTTACATTGAATAAATAATTTTCAACACAGTTCTATTTGTGATCCTATCTGTAGACGTGGTATGACACTCTCTGTAGGTTTTGATGCGTTTATGGTTGTTTCGTACTTTAATTTATGTACCACTGTAATATTTTGACAATTACTTATATGTATCTATATTTTGTATTTGTCTCTTTTAAGAAATGTTCTAGTCTAGAACAAAATAGTAAAAATATATTAAGTCTCATTTTTGTGATAAAATTCGAGATTTTGACTTTACGTCAAACTACACTGGTGTGCAAAATTTAAGCAACAGGTGTTCTTTTTGGCATAACTCCACGAGAAATCATCTCAGAGACATGAAATTCAGAATTAAGAGACAGCATTTTGTATTCAAACAATGACGAAAGCATAATTTTTCTAAAAATGAATATAATGCATACAGTATGGAATCAAACGAAAACAGACTTTATTGAACTCATAGTATCGTTACACATGATTGTCTGTACAAGAGGAAGAACAACAAGCAGGTGTTCCTTAGTATGGAATATGCCCTCCCCTTACTGCAGTGGTTGCTTCGAACAGTCTCTGCATACTCAGCACCAGATTCTCCAACAGATCTTGGGGTAAGAGTGCCCATTCCTCAATCAGCATCTGTTTCAATTGTTGGGTGTTCCCGGAGGATGTAATTGTGTCACAAGCGTCTCCCCAAAGCATCCCACACATGTTCTATGGGGTTTAAATCAAGGGAGCACGCTGGCCAATCCATTTGAGTGATATCTTCACTTTTCAGTAGCTTCTGAACAGCAAGAGTCCGGTGTGGCCGTGCATTGTCATCCATAAAAACGAAATCTGCTCCAATGGCACCTCGGAACAGATGCACATGGGGATGGATCACCTCCTGACGATAGCGATTCCCGGTTACAGACCCTCTGTCGAAAACGCGGAGCTCAGTTCGCCCGTTCAGCATAATGCCTCCCCAGACAAGAACTCCAGGACCACCGTTACGGTGTCTTTCCTTGATGTTACTGGGATAAAACCGGGTCCCGACCTCTTTCCAAATTAAAACGCGTTGAGAATCGCTTCTGGTACTTAACCGACTCTCATCCGTAAAGAGGACTCGACTCCATTGATTAGTTGTCCAGTTTTTGTGCTCTCTGCACCACGGTAAACGATGGCGTCGGTGGCCATCTTTCAACGGGAGGCAGCGTTCAGGACGGCGGGTTTCGGACTCTTTTCGTCTGCAAGACTATATATCGGTTATTTGCTGCAGTAGATTTCCTGTGACGGCCACCACCGACCTTTTTAACAGTTTTACCTATGGCATTTCTGAAGGCTCTCTAAGCGCGTGAAACGCCACTTTGTTGATTCTGAACTCTTCAGCTATACTGGTCACACTTCGCTCCTACTCCAGATTTTCGATCATTCTTCCATGTGTGAAGTCATCCAGATCATTTCTTCTAGCCATATTTCACGAAAGAACTCTTTGCACTTGCAGAGAATGTCCTTAATTGCATCACCATTCTTCCTTTTATGGTAATCTCGAGTTGAGCGCGCCGACCGTACGCGTTTTGCGTACGCTCACGTAGCCTGTGAACGTTTTTCTTGACATTTGCATACGCATGACCTTTCTACTTAATTCTGTATTCATTGTACTGAACGCAAGAACCCCTTTTCTACAATTTCATGGCTATCTGATTAAAATTTACATTGTTGCTTAAGTTTTGCACACCAGTGTATTATGCGTCAAAATATTGCTAAAACAGATTACTACGTCGCTTGGTCTCTGATAAAAACGGACGTTAAGCAGATTAAAAAAGCCTAAAATGTAAGGGTTTTATATTCAACTAACGTTTATCTTATTTTAAAACTTTGCTACTCTCTCTTATTTCCATTTCCGGTCAGAAAAAACGCGAACAGAGGTTTGGTTATGCAAATTGAGCTTGCAGACTGTTCAATATTTAAGTTGTTTCTTTTAGTCAGAAGAAAGAGACAGACTTTTCGCTACCTTTAACTCCCGCGCGCTAGTTGCTGTCTGCGTTTAAGGTTAGAACATAGTTCTCTTTGATACTTGAAGACGTATTGTAATTTCAAGCATTCTGCTTACTACATACGTAAAGTTTAAAAGGTTAATGTTCGCGTTACTAATCTTTGTAAAGCATTTGCGTTTAGTTCTTATTTAATTTAGTTAGTTTGTAGTTCTTATTTTTACGTTTCAGACTATAAGTCCTGGTCTTTGTATCCCGAAGTGCGGGAACAGTTATAAACTGCGAAGAATAAAGGGTAATTAAACCCTTCCTATTTGTGCCGTGTCTCCTACACATGCACGAACATAGTTTGAAGTAAACTCCCTGTTCTTACTCAGGACTCCAGTTATGTTTTTAAAGGCAATAAGGAGAAATATAGGTCCTGATAAACTAACTAACTGAGTTTTCTGGGCATGAATGTAGACTGTTAAATTTCCATACCCATATTCAGATTCCTTCAAGCAAGCTTGCAATAATATTCTTTCTTGCCAAAATATTATTGTGCAATTAACTTTGATTGCTTTGAATCTAGAATTGCACATGATATTGATCTTTCTCATGAATGCCTTACTTCAAGGCTATTGGAACTTGTTTTCATATTCAAAAAATTGATTCAGTCCATATCAGAAATTGCAAAATTTTCTTCTTTTTAGAGATTCACTTAAATTATTTGTTGTTTTAAGAGTGGCCAACAATTTTATGAGCTTTCAGAAATCATCAGTTTAATAATTTCTTAACTGTAGAAGACTTCGCCTGCGAAACCTTATTGGAAGTATTAACGATATAGCGCTGCTAACCCCCTCTTCATAAAACAAACTTCATCTTGTATGAAATTTTATGAAACGTAACGTAAAATAAGAAGGGAAAAACACCAGGAAATGTAATTTACTTTGGTGCTTAAGATCATGTTTAGTAATTTTCTATAAAATCAGTTTAGATTTCAAAAAGGTACACTTTTGAGGGCAAAAATGTGCCTAAGTACTTAAATGTAGTGATCTTTTTGGTTATACTTAAATGCATTTAATATCATTTACATCTCATCGTTAAAATGTTATTCTGCTCAAATTGTTGCTTAACATGCGGCAAAATACTAATTCAGAAGTCAAACAACAAACATCAGCGTTATATTCTCAAATTTTCACAGGACTAGTTTCGATGGTTTTAAAGAACCACCATCTTCAGCTGAAAAAGCGCAAATGAATCAGATAGGATATAATGATAAGATAATGATTAGATAAGATAAGAAAGCCTGGACAAGCATAAGCAATTGGCGCCATCTGTTGATGAAACCAGAACTAAAATATAATTTCTTTAGAGGCTGGAGGCAAAGATGGATTGGAATTAGGATCGTTAACTAGAAGAGAAAGATTTTTTTTTATGTGAAATGCCTCTAGAAAATCCAAGTTCTCCAATGGAAGATGTTTTTTTTTTGAATAATTTTGGCAGCAGAAAAATTGAAAGTGTGACTTTCGGACCAACAATGTTGGGTAACAGAAGACGTCTGTGTTTTCCGTTTCCTAACATATGCCTCGTGTTCTTTGTCGCGAAATTTTAAGGCTCTTTTAGTTTGGCCAATGTAAATTAAACCACACTGGCAAGGAATCCTATAAATACCCCAAAAATTCATATCCGGAATGGGTCCTTGAGTATGGAACTCGGAATTTTATTGATGGGAGAATAAATGACCCCAAAGTTAAATTTCTGCAAAATATGTGCAACTTTATAGCTAATTGATGGAAAAAAGGGAATGACAACAGAATTTTTATAATGTCCTAAAACAAGGATGTGACTTTTAATGTGTTGAGATGATAATTTTTTAACTGCTTGATTAATAATGTTGGGTGAAAAGCCCCTGCCAATAGCTATTGCATTTAAATAATTTAGTTCTTCATCAAGGGATAGATTGGAGGAGCAAACTTGAAGAGCACGGAAGACATAGGAATAAAATGAAACTAACTTTTGTTTAGTAGGATGACATGATTTAAAGTGTGGTGGAAGGCAAACTGATGAAGGTTTACGGTAAACCGTAGTACTGAAGTTGGATGTGTTACTTGTGATCAGAATGTCGAGGAACGGAAAAGAATTGCAATTCAAAAGTGAACTGAATAGCAGGATCAATAGAATTCATTGTTGAAAGAACTTTATTTAAATTATCTTTATTCTCTTCTTTCCATCAATTAGCTTCTTTATCTCCCTTCTTTCCATCAATTAGCTATAACGTTGCACATATTTAGCAGAAATTTAACTTTCGGGTCGTTTATTCTCTCATCAATAAAATTCCGAGTTCCATACTCAAGGACCCCATTCCGGATATGAATTCCTGGGACATTTATAGGATTCCTTGCCAATATGGTTTAATTTACATTGTCCAAACTAGGAGAGAGTTAAAATTTCGCGTCAAGGAACATGAGGGATATGTTAGAAAAAAGGAAACACAGGGGTCTTCTGTTGCCCAACATTGTTGGTCCGAAAATCAAATTTTTAGCTGCCAAAATTATTTTTTTAGCTGCCAAAATTATTCAAGAAACATCTTCCATTGGAGACTTGGATTTTCTAGAGGCGTTTCACATAAAAAAAAAAAAAAAAAAAAAAAAAAAAAAACATCGAAACTAGTCCTATGAAAATTTGAAAATATAAAGCTGATATTTGTTGTTTGACTTCTGAATTAGTATTTGTTCGGCGTGTTATTGTGTCTTAATTATGCAGCATAGTATTTAGCATATTACAAACAAGTAATATCTTTAATATATTTTACGTATTGTTTCTTTTATAGTTTAATGTGATTTTTTGGAATTTTCTTGCATTATAAAAAGTAATTACTTAATATGATTTTCTTATTTTTGTAGTGCCTGTGAAGAAAGTGTTGATAAAAGGTGAATCAAATGTAACTTATTCAGGTATTATAGGACCTTTCACTGAAGGAGAAAAACTCATTCTCATATGTGAGGCAGTAGGAGGTAAGATAAAAATGATAAAAGCATTATATAGAAAAAACGATTCTTCTTAATAATTAATTTATTCATTTATTTGTTCTTACATACTGCTCTTCATCAATGTAAGCAGGAAATGTAAATTTTCCTTTTCTTAAATTTCTAACAAATTATTTTTTAAATAATTTTATAATTCACGCATCGTAGTTACTCGCATAATACTTACGGAATTAACATAAAAGAGGCGTAACGTTATTAAATTGAAATAATGCTAAAATCACCTCATTTCCTTGTTTTAGAGACAGGTTCTAAGAATTAAAAAAACATATTCGCGTAATTTTTCTTAATTTGTTCAGTAAACGAGCTCCCCTGAGTTTTAAAGCGGATTCATTCATACAGTTATTGTTTTCGTCTTATTAATTAAGACAAATCATCACAAACTATCTGCGAAAGTCACGCCGAAGCTTTTTCTTTTATCTCTTGAATTTTATGTTAGATTAATAGAAAACCTATCAGTCGCACTGAGGTAAAAACGAGTTGACATCAGATATAATTTAATGATGAGTTTCCTCCATCGCCAAAAGTTGCACAAAATATTGTGCTGAAATTGCGAAAGGACTCAAAACTTCTATAATAATTTCACAACCTGTTCCAAATTGTTATGAAATTTGGCAAACATATTTATGAATATTTGATTACAGTTTGTAAATATTATTTAAATTCACTCAGATGGTAAAATATTCTACTAAATTCCATGTCTATGAAGAGAAAGAAAAAAATGACTTACTTCTGAAACTAATTAAAATTTTGATGTTGCAATCACAAAAATACCTTTTCATAGCACTGCGTAAATATATTATTAAAACTTCAAATGTTTATTTTAAATAAACTCTTTGCCCTATCGTTAATTTCTGGTCTTACTTCATCACCTTTCGCAGTTGCTATTTACTGACATAGATTAGTTATATTGTCTTTAAGTTTATTTAGATTCTCTGTAAAAATTTCCAAGTTTTATCTATGATAACAGCAGTCTTGAGAATCTAAGAAAATTATTACTGCTAATCCAAGTTGATGAAATATATGAATAATAACAAAACAATAATGATATATTTTCTAGAATGTTACGAGAAAATTTATCAGTACCTTTCACAGCTCTCAATGATAAGATTCTAAAGCTTTCAGTTTACCTTTTCTTAGTCAGAATTCTATTTCCTAATCATTAACAAACTTGTGTGTAAATATGGTATCAATTAAAGTTTTAGAGAATATTCTCAGTGTTTATAACCATCTTACCGTTTTAAGCTCTGGCGTGTCTGTTATTTATAAAACTCTAATTTTAAATGATCTAATATTAAATATTCTATCTACAAAACATACCACGAAATGTTTTCATCATGTTAGTGTCTTCACATTTGTAAAAGATAGGTTTTAAATAATTTTTTAACTACACGGCCAAAATGCATAAGTTAACTTTAGTTCATCCGAATCCATATATAAATAGATCTAAGCTATTAAAAATTTATCTATTTTAAACATCTTTTGTGCATTTGTTAACTAGTAGGAAGATGCACATTAACCCAACCAGTATAAAATTTCACTTAATTTATGGATTGTAATGTATTTTGCAGTAATTTACAAAACAGCACCTTCAATTTCATCAACTATTTCAGTAGGTGAAATGATGGTTGTCCATTGATCCATAAAATGTTCTTTGAAATCAGGAGAGGTACGCTATTTTATTTCATCAACCAGCATGAGATCTTTTAGCTGTTCAAAAGTTACTACTAATGTTTAATCCGTTAAACCATCCTTCTAAATAATTCTTTAATTCATAGTAGAAATCATACCAAGTACTTTCAGTAGATTTTTGGTGTTTATTAAATAGTTGTCGAAATTTTTCCGCACTTAATTTAAATCGTTGTAACACTAAAGTTTTTACATATTCATACTTTTTCGCGTCCTCTTCTGGTTCTCTAGCAATAAGCTGAACAATGTCGGGAGGCAGCAATGAAATAAGTTGAGTCACTTGATTTTCAAGCAGGTATATTCATTATTTTTAGCTTGACGCTCAAATAACACCAGAAATGAACTTATTTCATCTTCTTTAGGATTGAAAACGTGGCATGAAATCATGAATTTCTGATTTTCAAAGGTTTTGCTCAGGTAACTGCCGTAAGTTTCAGGTTAACCGTTACTGAAAAATGTTACGTGGCTTTGCAGCCATTGTTTTTCCAGTCATTGCTTAGTTTCTGTAGCTCAAAGGCTCTAATTCGCTTCTCTTTCACGCTCTTTTTTCTTTCCCTTATCTTTTCCTCCCTTTCGTTCTAGTCTTCTTTTTCTCTTTTTTTTCGTTCTTTTCTCTTTCTTCTGTTTGGCGTTCATCTCTTTCTCGTATTCTTTCTCCTTTTTAATTCTTCTCTTCCCCCCCCCCACTTTCTTCTCTAATTGCAGCCAGTAAGTTCTCAAAGTAAACTCTCTCATCATAATCGGGACTTTCAGTAATCAAGTTTATGCAACTGAGCAATCTTAAATTCAGGATCTCACACGGTTAAACCTAACTCTTCTGCCTAGTACTTTTAAATCCTGTTTTTACTTCTAGCTAAGAATGACATGTTGACACAAGTTATTTTAATAGGCTTTTTTTGAAATACAATCTAAAAGCTCGTATTAAAAATATATAATTTTTGGAGAGACTTAATTTCTTCGAAAAACAAAAACAAAAAAAAAAAAAAAAAAAAAAAAAAAAAAAAAAAAAAAAAAAAAAAAAAAAAAAAAAAAAAAAAAAAAAAAAAAAAAACAAAAAAAAAAAAAAAAAAAAAAAAAAAAAAAAAAAAAACACACTAACCAATTAGAGAGAATTATTTAAACAACTTTGCCAGGTTGGCACAAAATATAATACTACGTCGGGTTGACGTTTTAACTCACTATTCACAAGCCTCGTTAGCTATAACTATATAAACACCTTTGCCAGTTAGGCAATTACCCACGTCAGTTTGACGATTTTACTATCTATTTCCACGCCTCGTTGGCGATAACAAAAACAATTTTTGCCAGTTTGGCAATTCAACTTTTAGAATATACAATCTGTAATACGTCGGGATGACGTTACTATCTACCACACCTGGATGGCGAGAACTAAGAAAAAAACTTTTGCCAATTCTGCAGTATAATTAAATCACACTACGTCAGTTTGACGTTATTACTTATTTTCACGCGCCTGCTTGGCAACAAATTCAAAAACTCAGCTAGCAGTTTTTTTTTTTTTTTTTTTTTTTTTTTTTTTTTTTTATAAACCGCGGTATGGCTTCCACATATCAATTATTAACATAAAAATTCAATACAAATAAAAGTAAAGCATAAATAATAATTCTAAAATACTTCTTTACCACCAATATCAATTATAAATTTAAGCTGAATATTTTTAGTGTCAATTATTTTAAACAAAATCTTACACGATAAACTATAATTCTGAAATGAAAGTACTTAAAATTCAATAAACAGCTTTTTTAATGAAAACCAAATAGTTAATCTTATCTTCGGATATCAGCAGTGTTCTTACTTTGACAATTCTTTTCTCGGACACAAGTTGTAGAAGCACAGAAGATAACCTTTGAATGATCCGCTTCAAATCTGGCTTTAAAACGGCAGACTTCTTACATCCATTTCTCCTTGAAATAACAAACTCTTGGCAATTTGGTATTAGCAAAGCTTGTTCTACAAAATTTCAGTAATTTTTCTGGAGATTAGGAGACCAGCACCATCAAAACTGATAATTGCACTCCTAATTTCCAGTATCTGGGTGGAGCCTTCCAGTTTTATTAAGACTGTAATATATTTTGCAGTAATTTACAAAACAGACAATCTTCTTAGTAGAAACATAAATTTATTTCTAGTTCTCGGTGATAGACAAATTTTATACAATTCTTAAGTGGCAAAATTTTCATCCTACTCCTAGCTGTAAAATCTTCAGAATACTCAATCTTTTTAAAACAATATCTCTCGTTGCTGAGTAACAGTTTGATATAAATATGGCGTTGCCACTTCAACAATAATTATATTTATTTATTAAATAACAAGATATTACAGGATGTTTTAACTTGTCTCGCTTGTTTGGTATCAGAGCAAGAACAGGAATTTCGTCATGGCAAGGAGGCAAGATTGCACTTGTCGTTGCCAAGAGCCTTAGGCACCATGCAAGTGACAGGCAGTACGACTTTGCTCAGTTGCACACCCCAGTTTTGAAGAAGGGCACACCAGGGGGGCGGATCTGAGGTCTCCCACCCCTATTCCCCAACCACCAACCTCTTGAGAGGACATTTGTCTTGCTGCGTATTCAGAGTGACTTTATGTTGCAGGGACATTATACACTCACAGACATCTATGCTTTCTCTGGAGTTCGAACCCAGGTCCTTCGGTACGGTCCCCCATTTGGAATTGTCTCTTCCAGCAGAACAACAATGAAATATAGCTTTAATGCAGAACGAAAATATAGCTTTAAATATTATTTCATATTACAAATTTTCCGAAATTTTCAAGTGCATTTTATTACTGCGTTTTATAGTATGTCCCTAAATTTTTAATGAGATATTCATAATTTCTTTTCCAAAGACGTAAAGGTGATAAAACTGGCATTGCTATTCATTATTAATCCCCTCAATATGCAGATTTAATTATCTTTCTGCCAAAACTATTCAGACGCAACCTCAATGAGTCAATTTCGAACCTCTTCACTTTCATCAAAACTCTGATCCTATTTAATAAGCACATCTCATTGTCATTACTCCTCTTCATCCTTCCCTTTAATTGTTTTTATTTCCTTTTTTTCATTGAACAGAAAGTTTTAAATATTACCAATTTCAGAATTTTAATCTTGAATGACTTATATTTCTTGTTGAAAATTTCATAATTATCTTAGCGGTTTTCTAATTTTATATTAAATTTCGATACATATTTAGCATAATAACTTATGATCAATTAAAGGGAAATTTCAATGACGTGTGATTGGGGTTAAAGTTATTGCTTAAAAC